TAAATTCACAGCTGGACCCATGGACTAGTGAGTACACTGGACCACTGGGGCAGTCTTGATTTCATAGTCAAGAGGCATCTTGTATACATTTAAGTCTGGTTATGCAGAGTCAACAAGTTGTTCCTCACTGGTGATAGCAGCATTTGGGAGTCTGGTTTTATGATTTAATCATTAGGTGATCTCTGTCAGTATATGATAGGGATCAATTAGATAAGAAATTAAAGAATCCAGTTTGTTAGCCTTTTTGGGTTTGTTTCTTTGTTTGTTTGTTTGTATGACTATATGTAAACTCAACTCAGTCAAGAAAACATTTTATGTTCACTGACAGTAGAGCATCTCTTTGAGATCTGCTCTGGTGAGTTTTTATGGTTCTGCATTAAATCTTAATCTACGATTGAGGTTGTAGAACTAAAGCTACAAGCTCTCAGCAAGTCTGTGTATCTGTAATTGAGAAAAAAAATCTTTACCTCTCATTGTGTGTTTGATGTTTTCCTATCTCCAGAATATATAAATAAATTAGAAAGTCTCTCAAATCCAAATAGCTCCATTCTAATTGGTTCACAAAGAAAAATAAGCACTTATATTATTCTAATATCCCCAAATTTCTCAGGAAATAAAGAAATCAGACATGTAAAACCTGGCTTAACAAAACAATCTTACAGAAAGCTTAAGATCAGGAGCAGGTCTGTATAAAAACACAAGTTCGTGTAATAAAGTTGAATCTTTTACAAATTTAGGCTAGTTTAATAACTTTTGGTTTGAAAACAGCTATATGATTCTTGCCTGGTGTTATCAGTGTGGTCCTATTAGTTTGCTATTGCTGCATAATAATATTACCACAAATTTCTCAGCTTAAAGCAACACATTTATTAACTTATAGTTTCTGCTGATCAGTCAAAGCTAATTTTATTAGGCCTACTGCAGTAAGGGAAAACACTTACCTTGAGAGATCTTAGTAATGTCTCAAAATGGGGAGATGAGGGAAGGGCTTGGGGATCTAGGCTTAAGTGGTTGAAGGCAGGTTTGTCAAGACAAGAAAAATAATTGAGATGAGGGCAGTCCTTGACATAATAGTTTAGGACTGAGGGACAAAGCAAAGCCAGCTTCTTGACATGAGTCTTGATAAGTAAATGTTTTTTATAAGCTACTTATTTGGCCAAGTGAGCAATCTATTATCCTGATAGAGACAGAGCTGTTGGGCCAGATGAATAAACTGTATTGTTAAATTGAATTTCCTGAAGCAAATAGTGAAACTGTTCATGGGCTTACAGCTTTATATTCCTGGGCAAGAATTTCCTGGAACAAATATTAAGTCAAATTGATACAGGGGAGTCTCAGTTCTCAGTCCTAATTATTAAGCTAAGTGACTACAAACAGTTTAAATTCTTAAATTATAATTCTGATAAATGATTTTCTAAGCTGTTATATGTCAACTTAACCAAGATCTTTATTTAACTTTAAAACCTTGGAGTATTCTTAAATCAAGTTATTTAGTGCTTAACCTTGGACAACTAGATAATCTTTTTCTAAGTGAAATATAACATGAAATTGTGATCATCAACATATTTATATATATATATATGTTTTTGTTTCTTATAGTGGATATATTTATTGGTCATGTTAATGATTGTGTTCATTTTGCTAATTTTAAAAGGTGAAAAA